CAAGAACTAAACAGAAGTTCTGGAATATTCAAATTTACAAAATTCCCAAGGCCACTCAACAAGTCTATAGAAGTAGTAAACAGGTGTGAAAAGAAAATCCCCAACTAACCAAACTGCCTGACAATTGGGCAGAGATCTCAGATGGCAGCTTCCATGAGTCATCACTTATCCTGATTGGGATTTTTCGTGATGCAGATGTCTGTGCTTGTCCATTTTCCTGGAGGTAACCCCAGTAAAATCCTTTGTTCATGCAATCAGACTTTGGTAGAATTGCTTGTTTGTGTCATTAGTTTCATATCTCAGGTGAGTAAATGTTTGCTCAGGTCTCCCCAGGAAAAACGTCATGTAGCATTGCTGCTCTTAGGAAGTGTAACAGCTTGATCCTTGTTGTTTATATTCTTAGAGGCTTGAGAGTGAGTCTTCCCTAACCTAAGTGAACTCGTTTAAAACATTAATAACTCTTGGATTTTACATTTTTTTCTCCCAAGATTACCTGACATTGAAAGAACTCTGCTGTGTGAAACTGCTCTGACATGTAATTTAGGAAGTTGACCACCACAGGCATTGTTCACAGTCATAGGGTTCTTTGCAACAATTAATTTCCTCTTGTAATTGTAAGGAACTATGAAAAATAAAGTTTTCCACATTCTTAGCATGGACAGGGTTTTTCTCCAGTATGACTTTTTCATGTAATGTAAGATAAATGTACAAATGTAGGATTTACATTGCTTTCATTCATTTCATTTTGGTCCAATATGAATTTTGCCATAAAGATAAATGTGACATCTAAAGGCTTTACCCCACTGTTTGCATTCATAGGTTTCCTAAAACATGGATTCTTTCATGTAAAAATGGTTGAGTTCTACAGCCTTCCACACCATTCTTATTCACAGGGTTTTGTGTAGTATGAAGTTGTCAGGTCTCTGAACATCATGGTGGCATCTAAAGTCTGCACTACATTATTTACATTCGTATGGTTTTTCTCCAGTATGTGATTTTCCATGTAACTTAAGACATTTGTGCCATCCAAAGGCTTTACCACATTGTTTACAGTCATAAGGTTTTTCTCCAGTATGAATTTTTTCATGTAACTTAAGATAATGGTGCACTCTACAGGCCTTACCACATTGGTTACATTCATGTGATTTATCTCCAGTATGAATTTTTTGCATGTAACTTAAGATATTTATGCCGTGTAACGTTCTTACCACATTATTTACATTCATAAGGTCTTTCACCAGTATGTTTCTTCATCTAAATGAAGACTACTGTTATGGGTTTTCTCCAGTATGTGTATTTTCATGCCAATGAAGGTAACTTCTATGTGTAAAGGCTTTACTACATTCTTTACATTCATAAGGCTTTTCTCCAGTACGATTTTTTTCATGTAATTTAAGACATTTGTGCCATTGAAAGGCTTTACCAGTTTTTACATACATAGGGTTTTTATCCAGTATGAATTTTTTCATGTACATGAAGATCACTCTTACATCTAAAGGCTTTACCACATTGTTTACAGTCATATGGTTTATCTCCAGTATGCGTTTTTTCATGATAATAAAGGTAACATTTACATGTAAAGGCTTTACAGCATTCTTTACATTCATATGGTTTTTCTCCAGTATGTATTTTTCCATGCCTATGAAGATGACTTTTACGTGCAAATGCCTTACTGCATTGCTAACATTCATATGGTTTTTCTCCAGTATGAATTTTTTCATGTAATTTAAGACATTTGTGCAATCGATAGGCCTTACCACATTGTTTACATACATATGGTTTGTCTCCAGTATGAATTTTTTCATGGAAATTAAGACAACTCTTATATCTAAAGGCTTTACCACATTGTTTACATTCATATGGTTTTTCTCCAGTATGAATTTTTTCATGGAAATGAAGATAACTGGTGCAT